ATGTCCCATGGAATAACTCTCAGCAAGAAACAGTGTCCACAGACACCTGATGAGCGAGAGAGAATGAGTCAGATCCCATATGCTTCCCTTATTAGATCGACATGTATGCCATGATATGTACTAGGCCAAATGTATCGTATGCCTTGAGTGCTACGAGCCGACACCAATCAGACCCAGAAGAGGTGCATTGGACTGCGACCAAGAATATCCTAAATTACCTGAAAAGGAACAAGGAAAAGTTCCTGGTCTATGGTGGCTGTAATGAGTTGGTTGTTGAAGGTTGTACTAACGTGAACTTCCAAACTGACAGAGACGACTCCAAATCGTAGTCGGGGTACATATTCCGCCTTAATGGAGGAGCGTTTAGTTGGAAGAGTGCTAAGCAGAGCACCACTGCAGATTCTACAACTGAAGCCGAATACTTGGCAGCTTCGGAAGCAACTAAGGAGGTAGTTTGGATTCGTAAGTTCATTGGTGAACTTGGTGTTGTACCCTCAATTAAGGGTCCAATAGACCTCTATTGTGATAACAATGGAGCTATTTCTCATGCCAGGAAGCCAAGGGAACACCAGAAGGTCAAACATGTCAAGCGGCAATTTCACATGATAATAAAAGAATGGAAATCCAAGGGTGAAATCAGAATTTGTAAGATTGGAACGGACGACAATGTAGCCGATCCTCTGACTAAACCTTTGTCTTAAGTGAAGCACAACAAGCACGTTGAGCGAATGGGAATCAAGCATATTGGAGATTGGCTTTGATTTCCCTGTATAGATGTTTTAATTAAACTTGATGTCTTAATGTAAAACACTATGTTGAACCATTCAATTTTGGAGCAATTAATTTTTCTGCAAATTTATGATTACTCCATATCTATTTAATTATGGTTTAGAATTAAATAGTGATTCCATTCGATTTTTGAGAATATTCAAAACAGGGTATCAAGACCATGTCTTGGATAAAAAAACACCTGTTAAGTGAACATTGAATATTTTAATCGAAAATTGTCCCTAATCGAGGTCATATAAATGATGGACGATTAATGACCACTTGAGATTAGTGTGTAGTATGATTTATAGCACCGTTTCTTGTGCTACAAGGACATGATAGTCATGAATCATTTGCACAGGTTCTAGTTTGGAACTATACTAGATAGACCTATGAGAATACTTTAAGAGAAATCAAATCGTCATAAGTATATTTCTCATTATAGTTATCGGAACCTTTTTCCTCGACCACGAGTATTGCAAGTTCTCTTGTTTGAGTACTAGTCGTTTCGATGTTGTCAAACGTCTGTCATAAATGGGGATTATAATGGGAACACTCGGGCGACTAGGTCCTCTTAATAAGGGAAGCTTGCAGTACAAGACTGGGAATGTCTCCTTATTAACAATAGGGAACATGTCTTTGTTGTTTACATGGCCTCTCGATGAGCGAGACTGTGAAAATGCATGGCCGTGCTCAGATGGATTTTAGAAATCATCTATTTATTGACAGTCAAACTCGGGAATCGAGAAACAATTCTAGACGTAATAAGGATAACGAAGAATCTTACCTTATAGTTCATGAAGAGACATTAAGCGACATAGGAAAAGGGCTATACACAAATTGCACACTTGTCCGGAAAGACAAGTGGGAGATTGAAAGGAATTGTGTCCTTCCAACAAGTGTATTATTCCGATAGAGGGTTCAGAATTATTGGAAAGTTAATTCTTCAATAAGGTCAAGTGATCGGAATGCCTAGGTGGGGGCCGCTTCCGATCAGTAATATTAATGTACAATTAATATTATAGCTTAATCTTGACTGAACCCTTCGGGTCGAACCCAATCGAACAACCGATCCGAGACGACGAATCAATCCGAAGGATTTGATGAGTCGTCAGAGTTTTACAAAAAAAGACGTCGGATATCGAGCATAGAGCGTCGAGGCCGAGCGTCGCAATTCGAGTCGAATTTAAAATTCGACGAGAGACATGAAATCAATCAAGTTACAAGTTTGAGTTAGGTCGTAGCCTCGCATTGGCCTAGCCATGCGAGGGCTAGGCTATCTCGAGCTGGCATGTGCATCGCAATGCTAGTCGCAAGCCTAGCATGCTAGGCGTACTAGGCCCATGCATGCTAGCTAGCCATCGCAAGCATCGCAGCCTTGCGTGTGTGCTAGCATGCCATGCGCCCAGCCATCGCAAGGCTAGGCCTTGCTAGCATGCTTGGCGCTAGCGCTCAGCTAGCCCAGCAAGCATCGTAGCTAGCATTCTAGGCGCTGGCGCATTGCTAGCATAGCATCGCACAACACCACGCACCAGCCAGCAGCGTGCTGGGTTGTGCGTGTGCGTGCGTGTGCCTCGCATAGCATCGCATAGCACCATGCACCAGCTAGCGACGTACTAGGTTGTGCGTGTGTGTGCGTGTGCTTCGCATAGCAGCACCCAGCATTGACACACCAAGCAGCTCGCAATGCCTCGCCTACTAGCAGCGCCCAGCATGCGTGGCTCACTAGCAGCACGCATGCACTGGCTGGCTGCGTATGCTTGCGGCTGGTTATGCGTGTGTGATGGTTGGCTAGCCAGGCTTCCCAGCCTTCGTGCTAGGCACCAGATGGCAGGCTTGGTAGCCAAGGCAGGCTGCCAGCCAGCCACTTGGATGGGGAGAGCCGGTTTGCTAGTGGGGACCAAGGGTGTGAGCTTTGCCTTGGGGAGCAAGGCTATGGTACCCCCCTTGGAAATGGTCCTCACCTAATCTCTCATCCTCCATGTGCCACTTGTAACTTATTGATTGAATTGCAATTCTAATTTTGTTTTAATTAAAATAAAATGTGAAAATTGCAAATCTCCTACATTGATTGAGAATGGGAATTCAAGGTTCATTTCCCTATAATACCAAGGTTTTGGGATTTGGGAAGAACACTTGAGTGGAACTAAAAAGGCATCTCCTTAGAAAAGTGAGAAAACCTTAAGTTTGTAAAACTCTGGTTTTTATTGGTCGGGTCCCGACTAACCTTCGGGACTTGGACCGTTCGGGTCGGGTTCGTGGGTACGAGCCGTCAGAGACCTTCACATTTGCGGGGTTCGAGTTTTGAAGTAAGAGCTCGGGATTCGAGCGAAGCACGCACCAAGGGTAAGAATATCTTTTCTTCTCCCTCTTAATTGTTGTATAATTTGTGATTGCATGCTTAGTCGCTTTAATTAGTGTGCGAGTCTTGGGCGAGTTTCTCTTTTGCGTAGAGTCGGACTCTACGAAATCGAACACTTGGTACCATCATAAGTACATGAGGTTGGTGTAGGCCATTAGGTGGTCTTCAGGGTTGGTGGTACCATCATAAGTACCCACCAACACATTCTTAACCTTGGCCGGCTGTGCCGCCTCGATTATCTCTTTGGAGAACCCAGAAGGCTGTTCCCCAAGCTTTAGCAGACGAAGCTGCCAGTCCAAAGGTTGGAAATTTTGTGCCGCCTGACCCCCAAAGAGAGCTGGCTACATATATGGTTGACCATACAACATGTATGGCTGCTGAGGCGCCTACGAAGCTGAATGGATTATCTGAGGGCTAGTGTGAACGAACAGGCCACCTGACTAACTCTCCCGGTTTGATTGCGAATTCCTCATTGAGGTATTCCGGAAGCTATCTGGGTAAGTCGACGTTGAAGCCGACTCCAAACAGTTGTTATTTTTCTTCTGATGGATCAACATCCGGGCATCAGAATAAGTCTTCTTTGATCCATCCGGCTGTACATGCCGGATGGCCTTCCTTTTCCCTGTGTCAGGGAATCGGATCTTGGTAAGATCGATCAAGGGCCGGTTCCCTTCCTTTGGTTTAGGATGCGAAGTAGGCACTTGGTCCTTGAGCGGTTTTTTCTTCTCTGAGGGGGAAGATTTCTTGGCCGACTAACCCCTATTGGAACCACCCGTTTTCTTGTTGATCAAGTCCTTGATTTTCCCTTTGAAACTTGTCATGAATTTCATGAGTTCGTCTCTAGTAACTAGGGCTGCGCCTTCTGCCACCTGGGGTTGTCCAGACAGTTGTCCAATTGTCTCACTTGGACCAACTTGCTCTTTGCCCCATTCCCTTGTTTCCATGGGACGGGTGCGCTTAGTTCTGAGTGACCCGTCTGGGGCCACATAGGCTTTGACATCGAAGTCGTCACCACTGTCTTGGTCCGTATAGACCTCAACTTCGGGCGAAGGTCCTTTCTCATTAGGAGGCGGTACAGACTCATGTGAAGCCATCTTAGAAGTACTCTCCCCACAGACGGTGCCAAATGTTTTGGGGTTTTCTGTGTCCCTCGGGAGAGTTACAACACCAAGACTGGACTCCGAACGCCTGTACCTGCAAAACAACGGAGACCTCGGTTAGGTGGAGGTCCGCCTCCGACGATCAAGTTATAAAGTGTATGGAGTCTGTAACAAGCACGGAAAGTAAAGTATCTTTTCGGATTCCGAGATCAGGAGTAAATATCTGCAATCAATGATTGCTCTATTTTGCGAATATATCTGAATGTTTTTTCCAGGTGGGAATATCTCCCTATTAATAAGGTCTTGGGATGCGTGCCGCCATCCTAGGTTACGGAAACCTAGGAATGGTGGGTTATCCCGGGAGCTGGGCCTTGAAGGCCGCTTTTTTACCAATGATTGGGGATGCCACGTGTCAGCAGAGGATTGGTTCATTTTGAACCTCTCTTAAGGTGACATGTGTCACCATTTTATTGGGCCACATGGCCTTGAGTATTTTTACCCAAAACAATATGTATTATAATTTGTATAAAATTTTAATAATTGTGTACATAAGTGGGTATCCGGAATCGAAACCCGACGGTTCCAATTCTAATTTCTAAATTATAGGACCCCATTAAAGTGGTTCAAATTCCAATTCTGAATTTTGGGACCAGTTCCAATCAATTTTGGGTCCAATTCTTAATATTTTGAACAAGTATCCGATTTACTAACCCTAATTACAACTATTATGAGACTAATATAAAAATAAAATGTTGCAATTATTACAAAAGGGAGGAAGGATCAACTCTCCCCTTTCTATAGCAGCCAAGCAGGTTCTCTTCAAATTTCTTTTCTCAAATTCAAGTGATTAGTTAGGGTTTTAGCAACAAAACCAATATTCGCAAATCAGCAGCAAATTCAATTTCGAAGCAGCGACAATGGCGAGCACCAAAGTCCAGAGGATTATGACCCAACCTATTGTAGTTCCACTTCCATTTTCATGTGGTTTTTTTTTTTATTTTTTTTATTTATTTATTTTTTTTTAAAATTTTTTTCTCCAATTTTTATGTTTATTTGTTTTTGGTCTAATGCGTCTTCTTGTTTTTCCCTTTTTCGCCGATTTTCGAATCTTCCAGAACCTGATTTTCAGGTTTCTTCAAAGCGTAAGCCCCAATTTCATTGCCGTACCAGATTTTACATTTATCTTTCGTTTAATTGCCTTTATAGTATTCTGAGTTTAATTTGTTTGTTTTGAATGCAGAAAGCTCGTATCCAGATTTGGTTGTTTGAGCAGAAGGATGCGAGGATTGAAGGCCGTATAATTGTAAGATTTTCCTCTTACTGAGTAGTTGGTATTAGTTTAGTGAGGAAATTCTAGGTTTTTTTTTTTTTTTGCTCAATTTCAATTTTTTTTAATCTGAATTATGGTTTTCATTTCGAATAAGTCCTTTAGTTAAAACATAATGTTTCATGAGTTATATAAACATTAGCTTGTAAATATAGCAAAACTAAAACTCCTCAATTCAAGTTGAGAGCAAGCTTCAAAATCATGGATAAATTCAGGCTTTAATTTATAAATTTTACTTTAAAAATTACTAATGGATACCTGCCAGCAATGAATTGTATAATATGATGGGTAGTCCTTGAATCATTGTGTCTGCAATAGTTCTAGAGCCAGGCTCGGAGAAAGCCAAATAAGAATACAGATGATGGAAAGCTAAGAATCTTCCTAATATAATGTTACCTTGGTTATAATACAATCTTAAGCTCCCATTCACTCCTCTGTTTTAGTAATATAGCCCTCCGTGAGGAATTTTTCGCTGGCTATCACTTTTAAATCTTTAAGATTTAATTGAACAAGCAATGCATAACATGAAAGTAGTAACGCTAAACAAAACCAAATGTAGTGGTAACCCTTTGGCTATGAAAGTAGTAAAGCTAAACAAAACCAAATGTAGTGGTAACCCTTTGGCTATGAAAGTAGTAAAACTAAACAAAACCAAATTTAGTGGTAACCAAATTGAAATGCCTATGATGGGCCTGTAGTTTCCCTTCATTCCCATAGAGAGTAATAGCTTGAACTAAATTTATCCCAACTGCACTTCCTTGCCATTTAATCGTACACAATAAAGGTTCCCCTTCATAAAGAGATTCAGCACCTTGAATATTTTGTACTTGGATTGTAATGTACTCGAGCAGATCTTCCTTAACTGTTGAACATCATAAGATAAGAGTTTCAGAAATTAAAATGACTGTATATCGAGAGGGAGAGCAATCTCAATGAAATTTTTTATCAGGCAGACAAAAAGAATCTATCAGGCCACGGTGTCCTTAGGATGTATTAGAAAACTTGCTAGAATTTGGAGTACACTATCAAGAAAAAATCCACTACGATATATGCATGGAATAATATACCAAAGTTACTGGGTTAAACAGCTAGGAATTGTTATTACAAGGATAGAGGCTTTGTTATTTTTACCTTAAATAATATCAGTTTCAGGTCATATAAGTCAGATAACTTTTAATCTTCTAATAAGGTACTCCAATAACGACTGCCCATATTCAATTCTGAACTATAAAAAATGTTTGATAAGCTCAACTCAGATAAGTTCAGATAATGGTTTTCAGGTGAAAAGGACAAAGCCTATGCTCTGTTCATCGCCCCAACGGTGGATTTGGTCCAAATAATTTTCTTAAAAACTGTCCTTTCCCTTTTAAAATCTTAACTAGCAAAGCTCAACAAGTTAAAAGTGACAGTTGTCCAATTTGAATAGTAGGCAACACATCAAAATAAACAAAGAATGTTTAAAAAAAACTGAAAGAGACCATACCTAATCAAACCTTGATTCCCAATTTTTTTGCAGTGACAGCAGTAAAAGCACCTCAGCATCTTTCTCTTCTCTACTGTTGTCACTCCTAATCTATGATTTAACAGTATACATATGCGATTATCTCTTCTGGCTCCTTGCTGACCATACTAATATGTAGCCAATAATTAAAACTTAATCAGGATTACAAATTTATTATAAGTTGGGGTATCCCTTTATCCGTTAATAAAGTATACATCTTTGTTTAGCACAAATATTTTAGACAGTAAGATACAAGTAGTAAGGATCTAAGTAATAACTTGCTAAAATGAATGTGTTAATTTTTTCTTTTTTTTGAAGACACCCAATATAAAAGATATGAATTAGGTGTTAAGTTATGATTCATATGAACTTGATTCCAATAAGAAACATACCACAGGAAATGGGGTAGAATATCAGGGATGTGTAGTATATCAACTAAAAGACACCAAAAACACACAATATCCTCACTAGGCTACAAGAAGCTAATGAGTTTTTATCTTTCAATAATTTTTTTTTTTAAATACATTTATCATATTCTTATATTGATGTGTAATTTATTGTCTGTTTACATATAAATTATGTTATATAGAGTAAACAAACTCTATGGATTTACCTTGCTATGCAAGTGCTTGTTAGAAATTTCTACTAGCGGAACATTCTCTTTTCTTTATCAATTTAAACCCGCATTCCCGGTCAAGTTGCCTTAGTAAGCACGACCAATTTTGTTTATTAATTGGAATATGCCTATCACATCAGAAGTTAAGGGTAAACCAACTCATTATGCTTCCTCAGTTGATTTTGGAGGGGGTGAGATGGATGTTGGCCTTAATATTCAGTATATTTACTCTAGCCTATGGGATGTGGTTTACTTGTGCTGATCCTCTTAACTACTTACTTAAAACAGTAAAAAATTCTAAGCTCTCTTTATGATGTTTTTTTAGTGTTCTGGGGTTGATCTTATGCTTCATGAGGTACTGAGTTGAATATGACTGAGCAGAAATATTTTTTTCAACTCAAAAGTTGTTGTATTGCAATTTGCGGTAGATGCTGCTGAAATCCATCTCTGGTTCTATGGGAGCTCTCTTGTTTATTGATATATACTGATTCATCATCTCTTCTTCAGGGCTTTGATGAGTACATGAATTTGGTTTTAGACGACGCAGAAGAAGTGAATGTCAAAAAGAAGACCAGAAAATCACTTGGTAAACTTTACCATCTATCCTATGATTTGTTTATCTGTTACTCTTGATCTGGAGTCCAACTTATTTATCTTTGTTGCCTTTTGTTTAGGGAGGATCCTTCTGAAAGGAGACAATATCACTCTGATGATGAATACGTAAGTTCAATATATATATATATATATATATATATATATATATATATATATATATATATATATTTTGTCATTTGTGCTGCTTTGAGTTTTCTGTTGTATTCTTTTTATCCCCCCTCTTTGTAATAATAGTGCTTTGTTTATATATGTTTGCAGGGGAAAATGAGACCCAGCTGATTTGCATTTGTTCACAAGTATTAAAATTCCAAACTGCTCATCCGCCTTAGAAGTTTTGTGCATATTAATGTAGTATGTACTTCACGCATTCTCCTCTGTTCCGTATAGTTAATATGTGGGTTGATGAATATGAAGTAGTGGATTTGACTAATGTGTTCGTTTGTGTTTAATAGAATTTCTTATAGTTGAGTTCCTTGTGGTGCAATCCAATCTGGGGCAATTTTCTATGCTCTACCAGTTTATGTTACAGAGGAGGGATTTTTGAGATAACTGTGTTAATGATTTATGGAAATATGGTGCCTTTGACGTCTGATAGCAAGTTCAAATTCATTGACAACATGAATTTTATAATGGAATCTATAAACCCCCCTGGGCGGTTACCTTACTTTCTCCAAAAAATCTAAACTCTATTCAAAAGCCCCATTCCTCAATCCTCATCTAGGTAACGTCAATCATAACCTCTGTTGGGAATATAATGGTTAGGCACATGTGCCGATGTTGAATTCTGATCAATAATTATAAATTATAGAATCAATTTTTCTTTGATACAAATCACTAACATTTAGTCGGATCATGTTTAGTTTGTGTAAAAGGTATCAATGAACTGCTTAAAGGGAGTATCAGTAACTGTTTAATTTGTTTATGATCATGTTATATACTCCCTTTTTGTTTTTTTTGGAAATTTTGGATTTTAACACTAGATAAAAGACTGAAAATGGTTTTTAACACCTCCATAAAAAAAAAAAATTATTTTAACACCACATAAAAAATTGACAATTTGAAGTTACCACCAGTTAACGTTTTTTTGTGACGGAAAATTCACATGGGTCCCAGGATTTGGTTTTACTTTCAATTTTCACCCAGCGAAACATGTTCCTTCTTCCTTCATTGAATACTTACCAACCATCTTCATTGAATTCTCTCATCCAACCCAAAGAAAAACTTCATTTAACCTAAATTGTGTGATTGAGGAGTGGAGTGTAAAAGGGAGGTGTCAACATTGCAGAAGAACAACTTAGCAGGGTTTCGTCACCCATCTTCATCAACTAAAAAAGGGCGAAATACAGGAGAGATTTTAAAGAAGGTTTATTTTATTTTATTTATTTATTTTTATTTTTATTTTTATCTTTTTACAGCAATTTCGTCTATTTGTGGTGCTTCATTGATGTTAAAATTGCATTTTTAGGTTAAATTAGGGTTACTTTTGGTAACAGAGTAGGGAACCCTAAAAAATTCAAATATTATAGATTGACTATGCGACTTAGGTTAAGTGGAATATTTAATTGCAATTAGAGATTAAATAAAGTGGGTTATTGTTAATTAAGCTATTGTTAACTGTACCTGTGTGATTTGTAAATTAATTTATGTAATTGAGTACGGGTTTCATTTGTTTATGCATAAATGTTGAAATTGGTGCTTTGTAGTGTAAGTTTGAAAATTGGGTTTATTTTGTTTATTCATAATCTGCATGTATTGATACATTGTTGTAATATTAAATGGCTTTTAATATGTATTATCTCTCTTTTACTAGTAGGTAGATAATGGGCGACAATGATGGTATGGTTGACATCTGTCTTAGAGTGGAAGGTGCTTTTGTTCCTAAAAGAGTTAGCAAAGATAGGTAGCTACTTTATTGGTGTGGTGGGTGGTGTTATTGGAGAAGGAAAGTTCAAGTATTTAAGTTGGATGTGCATTTCATTAGAAAGTTCATGGATTTGTTAATGGTGATATGGCTATGCCTATGCATTACAACTATTGGTATAGGCAGAAGAGGAAAACCTTTAACACTAGGAAAAGGGAACTAGTTAACAGTGAAGAAGTTAAGGGCCTTTTACAGACAGTAAATGTAGTGGGGTATGTTGAAGTCTTTGTAGCAGCACAAGCTCCTAGTAAGCCCATAAATGAGGTCCAACCCAATCCACCAAAGCCAAATAAAAAGGGGAAAAGGTAGGAAGTACTTCTACTATCAGTGTTAGGAGGAGCCTTAGGTTTAAGAAGACAAAAATTGAACAAAGGGAGGAGAGTCCACCTAGGGAGATATTTGTCATAAAGAAAGGGAAAGAGAAGGTTGTAGAATTTGGAGTGTCTAGTAGTGTAAATGAGAAGGCTAAGTTGAAAGGGAAAGCATTAGCAAAGGCTAAAGTATTGACATTTGATGAGGAGGATGATGATAAAGGCTATGGATACGAGTGTTTAAGTTCAGATTTGAGTAATGAGGACTTGGGTTGGGAACCTGGTGAAGAGGAATTTGATGAAGGGGATGAAGAATGGTTTATTGAAGGGTCAAAGGAGATCCAGGACAAGGTGAACAAAAGCCTTAGGAAAGGTTTGGGGGAGTGAAATAGATGAGGTAGTTGTCAAAGATAAGAGGTCAGAGCTGGGGCTGGGGATGACTTGGATGTTGGAACACTTAAGCTCAAGCTAGAAACTGATGGTGATAAGGAAGAGGACTCTGTTCCATGGTTTAATGCTACTGTGGACTTTGACAACCCAATTCAGCTGAAGTTAAGTTAGAAATTCAGTAATGCTTCACTCTTAAGGAGGGCCAAGGCCTTGAGACTTCATGCCATTCAAAACAGGTATGAGTTTTACTTCTTGCATAATGACAAAATTACAATTTAATGCAGTTATAGATGTGACTGTGAGTTCAATAATTACACTTGTAGAATGCCTGCTTGTACATGGGGGGCGGGGGGAGGAAAGTGTTAATTCAAGATGTTTGCATCAAAACTTGTTAAGCAGAAAACTTGACAAATTAAAAGCTTGAAATTAAAACATACCTGTTTGTGGGTGAAGAAGAACAAGATGCTTACTACTGAATACATAACAGAGAGGTATTTGGAGGAGTTTAGGAGTAACCCTAGTTGGAGAATTAAGGAGATTAGGGCTAGGATTTTGAATGATTTGAGAATTGAAGTGACTTATTTTAAGGCATGGGTAGCTAGGTGTAGGGAAAAACTGATCATATTAGGGAGCAGTATGCAAGGGTGTGAGATTATGGGAAAGCTGTGATGAAGTATAACCCTGATTCTAGGTGCAATGTTGTTGATGGTATTGGCAGCCGTGAGCCACCCATGTTTTTGAGAATGTTCATATGTTTAAGGCCTCTCAAATATGGTTTTGCAAAAGGTTGTAGGCCACTAATTGAGGTGAATGACTGTCACCTCTAAGGTGCCTATCCTAGTCAAATTCTGGTGGCAGTGGCTAAAGATGGGAATAACAACTTATTTCCTCTAGCTTAGGTTATAGTGGAGATAGAAAAAAGAAAACTTGGGGTTGATTCTTAGAATCACTAATGGGAATGTTTACATCTGATCAAGGAGTTAGGCTAACCTTTATGTATGACAGGCAGAAGGTACACTTTTGTTTCCCTCTTGTACATTGAGGTTCAATTTTTAAGTTTTTATGTGTATGCATTTGATTGGAATATGAGTTCATTTCTGTCTGAATTTGGCAGGGTTTACTAAAAGTAATGGCTAATGTTCTAAAGTAGAACAGGGATGTGTTAGGCATATTTGGGCCAACTTCAAGCTCAAATTCGCTAGTTCGACATTTAAGGAGCTATTTTGGAGTGCAGCCAGGGCAACTACTTATGTAAGTTTTGTTTATGCATGTCTTGATCTCTTATTGGTATGCTTTTAGCTGTGTTTATGTCTTGCTTATATATATGTTGTTCTGAATTGGTATGTCATTGCATATTGTCAGTTTGAGTATGAAGTTGTCATGGAGTCTATCAAATTCCTCTCTGAAGAGGCATAGGCATATGTTGGTGTAGACATGCCTTTACACCAAACTGCAAGTCTAACATGTTGTTGAATAACATGTGTGACACTTTCAATGCAGATAAACCTATCTTCACCCAAATGGAATGGATGAGGAGGTATATAATGAATAGGAATAATGAAAAGTGGGAGGATTTAAAAACAATTACAAGCAACTTAGTGCCATATGTAAGGTATGTTCTGGGTAGGATAGATTTTGTGGCTAGGTCCTATGTGGTGCAACCATCAAGAGAGAATACATTTGAGGTGCAGCTGAAGGATGACCAAGTGTTAGTTGATTTGGAAAAGGAAACTTGCACCTGTTACCATTGGAAACTGACTGGGATTCCCATATGAGGGGTGACATAGAGGCATATGTTGACCGATATTATACCATGGACACATACAGGGCTGCTTATGAACCCCCTGTACAACCAATACCTGGTCCAAGCACTGGGAGAGACTCAAATTAAGGGAACCTCTACCTCCTAGGAGACCAAAGAGCAAAAAAAGGAAGCTTGAGCAAGGAGAGTGTTCTACTGTAGGTGGTCAACCAAGCACATCAAAGAGGAAGAAGCAATGCAAAAATTGTGGGGGATTTGGGCATTATGCCAAGACCTATAGACTACCTGCTACAACAGATACAAACCCTAAAAGGACAACAGACAAACCCCCCTTGAACACTCCTTGGATGGTGGAGGAGAGGAAGAAAAAAGAGATTAGAGCTGCAAAAAAGGTAAAACAAACATTACATTAAAAGAACATTTGTGTTACCTATATCTTTATTCTGTTATTATACTAACTGCTTCTATTTTAATCCATGTCATAGAGTGCAATTGGGCCAGGTCCAAACAACATAGCAAACAAAAAGTTTCCTCAAGAACAGGAAGTGTCTGTCATTAAGCAAGCACAGTTGAACTCAAGGCAACCAAGCTCAAGTCAGGCAAAAACAAAGCACAAAGGTCAGTCAAAGACAAAGGCTTCCTCAAATCTGTATGCAACAACCACAGGTCAACAACCACCTCAAGCAATTGTGGTAACAAGGGCCAAGCTGCAAACTTCAGCAAATTAAACCTGACTCAGTGATGTACTAATGACTGCTTAGAAATCAATGTGTTTGTTTAATCACTTATGGTAGTTTTTGTATGGCTTTGATTGCCATTTAAACATTAGAAAACATTATGGTAGTTTTTGTATGGCTTTGATTTCCATTTAAACAGTTTAAAGTGCACTTCTTTTGTCAATTACCTTTGAAGTGTTTAGTTCCATTTTCAGTGTGTTCCAATCCAAACATTATCATTTCCTACTTTAATACATTCATGTGTTTCATAGCTTTCTCATGTTAAAACCTCTCTCAATTTAACATCAAAGACATGTCATAAATAATTTGAGGATAATTTGATTCAAATACATATAACATTAAAACCAAACTCATAACACTTCAAGTCGTTACATGTGATTCAAACTAGTTAATACAACTTACTACTAAACACCCCTAACCATTAG